ACTGTATCCAATTAAAAAAAAAAAAGACAGTACAGCATGGTTCCCAACCAGGGCTGCACTCGCCTGCGGTATCAGCAGCACATGCGGGGCTTAACATCACTGTGTCTGAAAGCACCAAGACCCGTCATCGACATTATTTTTCCTTATAGGCCTTTCTGCAAATAAAATCTAGTGATTCAGATACATTTCTATAAAGAGGAAGAAGATTCGGAGGGAGCCACTCACGGTAAGACTCACTACTAAAATCCGTGTGCAGCGAGAACTTACAACCAGCCAGGTCCTATGCTAAGAGATTACATATATTAGCCCATTTAATTCTAGTGACCAGTGAGGTAGGTACACAAATGAGGAAACTGAAGCACATCTATCAGAGTAGGATACCAACAGATTATGCCTCAAAGGGATAAACAAGTAAAAAAAATCTCACGATAAGCATACTATTAATTAATTGATTAATTAATTAATTTTATTTTTTTAGAAATGGAGTCTCACTCTGTTGCCCAGGCTGAAGTGCAGTAGTGCAATCTTGGCTCACTGCAACCCCTACCTCCCGGTTTAAAGTGATCCTACCACCTCATCCTCCTGAGTACCTGGGACTACAGGTATGCGCCACCATACCTGGCTAATTTTTTGAATTTTTAGTAGGGTTTCACCATGTTGGCAGGCTGGTCTCGAACTCCTGACCTCAGGTGATCCGCCCATCTTGGCCTCCCAAAGTGCTGGAATTATAGGCATAAACCAACACGCCCAGCCTAAGGATACTATTTAAAAATAGTGCGAGCGAGGCATGGTGGCACTTGTAATCCCAGCAACTTGGGAGACCAAGGTGGGAGGATCACTTGAGCCCTGGAGTTTGAGACCAGCCAGGTCAACGTGGCAAGATGCCAGCTCTACAAAAATTCAAAAATTAGCCAGGCATGGTAGCAAGCCCTTGTAGTTCCAGCTACTCAGGAGGCCAAGGTGGGAGGATCACTTGAGCCCAGCAGTTCAAGGCCAGCCTGGGCAACAGAGCAAGACCCTGTCTCAAAAAATAAATAAATAAATAAACAACCACTAACCTCACATGGATTTCAGTGCTGCCCAGCAATTGTGCTACACGTCCCTATTCCAGTCCTCTCCCAGGATGACGCATTCTTTCACCTCTCCTACCTCAAACCTCCCACATCTCCTGTTTCTCTGTTCTCGTCGGATGACCTTAGCTTCTGGTCACTGAGAACACAAATGCAATCTGAGGAACTTCCACAAGATCCCGCTATACCTACCCATCGGCCAGCAGGTATGCGCTCCCAGCAAGGTGAACACCCACTCCTGCGCAAGGTCTCCTCGCCCTCGCCTGCTTAAGGGTATTGCTCTGAGCAACTCTCCATCTCTGGCCTCAGCTCCTGCATTCTGCTGAAGCAACTGCAACCTCCCACATCTTAAACTCTCTCGGCTCCAAGTGCCCTTCAACGTGCACCCCACTTTTCAGCTCCCCTCTGCAGAAAAATCCTCATGAGTCGTTTACCCTGGCAAGGGCAGGGGCTCACGCCTGTAATCCCAGAACTTTGGGAGGCCGAGGCAGGAGGATCACTTGAGCCCAGGAGTTTGAGACCAGCCATAACAACACAAGACTCTGTCTCTACAAAAATAATAAATAAACAGGCCGGGCGCAGTGGCTCACACCTATAATCCTAGCACTTTGGGAGGCCAAGGAGGGCAGATCACTTGAGGTCAGGAGTTTGAGACCAGACCTAACAACATGGCGAAACTCCATCTCTACCAAAAATACAAAAATTAGCCAGGTATGATGGCACCTGCCTGTAGTCCCAGCTACTCGGGAGTCTGACGCAGGAGACCACTTGACCCGGGGAGGTGGTTACAGTTAGCTGAGATCACGCCACTGCACTCCAGCCTGGGCAAGAGTGAGACTGTGTCTCTAAATAAATAAATAATCACCTACCTGCCGTGTCTCTGACTTTCTTCCCCTATCCCATCAGGCTTTTGCCCCAACCACCCTACCACAATGACACCCACCCATGTGGCTAAATCCCATTGCTGACCCCCAGTATGCAACTTATTTGACCTAACAGTGTTGGACTGTTGATCTGGCCTTCTCTGTTTTTTTTGAGACAGTCTTGCTCTGTTGGCCAGGCTGGAGTGCAGGGGCAAAATCTCAGCTCACTGCAACCTCCACCTCCCAGGCTCAAGCAGTCCTCCTGCCTCAGCCTCCCGAGTAGCTGGGATTACAGGCATGTGCCACCACGCCTGGCTAATTTTTATATTTTTAGCAGAGATGGGGTTTCACCATTTTGGCCAAGCTGGTCTTGAACCACTGACCTCAGGTGATCCACCTGTCTTGGCTTCTAAAAGTGCTGGGATTACAGGCATGAGCCACTGCACCCAGCCCCTTCCTTCTCTCTTGACAGGCGTTTTTCACTTGGCATCCGGCACAGACAGCACAACTCCTACTTTTGCTCTGACCTCTTAATTGCCCTGCCCTTGAACACTGAAGGACCCAGGCTTAGTGCCCAGCCTCTTCACTCCCTCATGTGGCTTCAAATACCAACTAGCCACCGACTCTGTTTCCTCATTTACAAGTCTCTTCTTAACCCTCTCCTTGAACTATACTGCCAACTCAACTGTGTCTTTGTATGATTACATACATACATGGTCATATACATGTACATACACACATATATACATGTATATATTGAACTCCTGACCTCAAGTGACCCCCCGCCGCCTCAGGCTCCCAAAGTGCTAGGACTACAGGTGTGAGCCACCACACCCGGCCACATGCTGTTTATACACATATTACACATGTGTATACATATATATACATATGTGTGTGTGTGTGTGTGTGTGTGGTGTGTATGGTCGGGCATGGTGTCTCACATCTGTAATCGCAGCACTCTGGGAAGCCGAGGCAGGGGGATCACTTGAGTTCAAGAGTTCCACACCAGCCCTGCCAACATGGCAAAACCCTGTCACTACTAAAAATACAAAAATTAGCCAGGTGTGCTGGTGCCGGCCTGTAATCCCAGCTACTTGGGAGGCTGAGGCAAGAGAACCACTTGATGGAGGTTGCAGTGAGCTCAGATAGTGCCACTGCACTCCAGCCTGGGCAACAGAGCCAGACTCCATCTCAAAAAAAAAAAAAAAAAAAAAAAAAAAAAAAAATATATATATATATATATATATATATATATGTGTGTGTGTGTGTGTATATAAACTGTGTATATATACTTTGTATATATATATTATATACAAATATATGTATATAACTATATGTATCATATATATACCATCTAACACAGATCATCACAAACTTAAGAATTCATAATCAAAACTCCTGATCATCCTTCACAAACCTGATCCTTCTGGTGGTCATTCTTTCCATAAACATCCATCTGATGAAGTTCACATCGCAGCTCAAGCTGAAAACCTTTGTGCATCCACAACTCCTCTCTCACACACTCAGCCAACCCATCACCAGCTCCCATTGGTTTACCACTGAAATACACCCAGAGTGTGACTCCCTTACAATCCTCTGGGTATCCCAGTCCGAGCCACCACCTCTCACAATGGCTTCTAAACTCAATCAGATTGTGTGTCACCTCCATTCGAAAACTTCCCAAGGTGACTCCCCTTCCACCTAGGGGAAAAGTAAGGTTCTTGGAGCTTGGAAAGGTCCCTACAATAGCCTTGGCCCCTCCCCTAATCGCTGGGGCTGCAAGTCCTCTTTCTCTCTCTGTGCCTAAATTGGCCCAGCCAAACTGCTGTTTACATCTGCACCTGCTATTTCCTCTACCTGGAATGTTCTGGTGTCTCACTCCTCCTCCTCTCCACTCTCAACCCCCGTTCTCATCTTCTCCATGGCACTTATCACCACCTGCTCTGTGCACCCTGTTCATCTGTCTCTCTCCTCCAGAAAGTAAGTTCACTAGATCACAGATTTGTCTCCACTTGTTTACGGCTGCAGCCGAATGCCCCGAACAGTGCTGACACACAGCAGGAATCCTATGAACGTTTTTTTAACAATTAATGAATGAATGATGGAAGGAAGGAAGGAAATGGAAAACATGCTTATGATGAAAAGTTCAGGAGTTCCACACCAGCCCGGCCAACATGGCAAAACCCTGTCACTACTAAAAATACAAAGATTAGCCAGGTGTGCTGGTGCCTGCCTGTAATCCCAGCTACTTGGGAGGCTGAGGCAAGAGAACCACTTGATGGAGGTTGCAGTGAGCTCAGATAGCGCCACTGCACTCCAGCCTGGGCAACAGAGCCAGACTCCATCTAAAAAAAAAAAAAAACATATATATATATATAACCCTGCCTCTACTAAAAATTTCAGGCCGGCCGCGGTGGCTCATGCCTGAAATCTCAGCACTTTGGGAGGCCGAGGTGGGAGGAACCATCGCTTGAGCCCAAGAATTTAAGATCAGCCTGGGTAATATAGTGAGACCCCATCGCTACAAAAAACATTTTTAAAAATCATCCGGGTGTGGTGACGTGGGCCTGTGTTCCCATCTACTCGGGAGGATGAGGCGGGAGGACGGCATGGGCCCAGGAGGTGGAGGCTGCAGTGAGCTATGATTACGCAGCTGCACTTCAGCCTGAGTGACACAACGAGACACTGCCTCAAAAATAAAAAAAAAAGGGGGAAGGTGAGAGCTGAAAGCCTCGGGGTGCAATCAGGGCTTAATGAATTCTAACTCGCGTCTTCAAAGAAAGACAACGAAACCAAAGCCACCGCGAGGGCTGACGGCCTAAGAACTAGGAGCCAGGGGCGTCTCTTCCGCTCACCCGCGCCGGGCTAAACCAGAGGCGCTGCGGGTGTCGTGCCCGCGCCGGGCCTCCCCAGCACTGCAGACCCAGGGCCGCCGCCCGGTCGCCCTCGCCAGGCCTTCACGCACTCACGTGGAAGGGGCGGAGCCCCGCGGGAGCCCGCCCCGGGGCTCTTGGTCTCTTTGGCGCCCTGACCCGCCAGCCACCCCGCCGCGACCCCACGAGCCTACCTGCGTCCACCTTGCCCACCTGCGTTTGCCCAACAGCACCGCAGACTCCGGCTTCCGGCAGGGAACCGCGCCTCAGGTACGCGTTAGTTCCGCCTTCAAGAGAGTGGAGCTTTCCATTGGGCGAAATCTGCGTCCGTCTCTCCGCCGGCTAATGGCAAACATCGGCAGCACTGGTACCAGAGCCAGCCCTGGGCGCTGGCTAGTGACGCCATCTTTAGGGGCCTCGAGTTGCTGGGCTAGCAGCCAGTTGCCAGGGTAACCAGCTCTGCCCCGTACACGTGCAGAGGACGATTCAGGCCCTGCAGCGCTGGGGGTTCTGGGGTGCAGCTGCCCCGGCCAGCAGGGCGCCACGGGGTGGGGCCTTCTCCGAGAGTCCAGGGCATGGAGCTCCACTCGCAGTCGAAATGGGTGAGCTACGGCTGTTGCGAATAACACAAAATTGGACTCAAACTTAGTGCTGAATTTAAAAATCAGCATAGGTGCTAAAAAGTAAATATACAGGGTGGATACTATTTTAATAATACTTGTGGCCGGGTTCGGTGGCTCACGCCTGTGATCCCAGCACTTTGGGAGGCCGAGGCAGGCGGATCGCTTGAGCTCAGGCGTTGGAGACTAGCCTGGCCAACATGGTGAAACCCCGTCTCTACTTAAAATACAAAAATTAGCGGGGCGTGGTGGCGCATGCCTGTAATCCCAGCTACTCAGGAGGCTGAGGCAGGAGAATCGTTTGCGCCGGGAAGGTGGAGGTTGCAGCGAGCTGAGTTCTGGCACTGCACTCCAGCCTGGGCAACAGAGTGAGACTGTCTTAAAAAATAAAAATAAAAATAAAAAAATTAGCCGGGTGTGGTGGCACGTGCCTGTAGTTCCTGATACTCCAGATGCTGAGATGAGAGGATTGCTGGAGCCTAGGAGATGGAGGCTGCAGTGAGCTATGATGGAGTCACTGCACTACAACCTGGGCAACACAGCCAGACCCCATCTCAAAGAAAAAAAAAAACAAAACACTTTTAAGTTACCCAGTAACTTACTGCTTGGCAGCCATATTAAGTATGATGTACCTTGCCTCAGGAATCCAAAGGTGACAAGCAAAGAAGATGCATTCTTCCTTGCTGGTAGAAGATTGCATTTGTTTCCTATTTCTGTGTAACAAATTAACCCAACATTTAGCAGCCTAAAAGAACATTTATTTTCTCTTAGTATCTGGGGGTCAGGAAAGTGGGCGTGGCTGAGCTCTAACCCCATCTCTACTAAAAATACAAAAATTAGCCAGGCGTGGTGGCACATACCTGTAATCCCAGCTACTTGAGAGGCTGAGGCATGAGAACTGATTAAACCTGGGAGGATGGAAGTTGCAATGAGGGGAGATCACACCACTCCAGCCTGGGTGACAGAGTCAGACTCTGGCTTAAAAAAAAAAAAAAAGGCCGGACATGGTGGCTCAAGCCTGTAATCCCAGCACTTTGGGAGGCCGAGGCGGGTGGATCACGAGGTCAAGAGATCGAGACCATCCAGGTCAACATGGTGAAACCCCGTCTCTACTAAAGATACAAAAAATTAGCTGGGCATGGTGGCGCGTGCCTGTAATCCCAGCTACTCAGGAGGCTGAGGCAGGAGAATTGCCTGAACTCAGGAGGCGGAGGTTGTGGTGAGCCGAGATCACACCATCGCACTCCAGCCTGGGTAACAAGAGCAAAACTCTGTCTCAGAAAAAAAAAAAAAAAAAAAAAACAGGCCGGGCACAGTGGCTCATACCTGTAATCCCAGCACTTTGGGAGGCCAAGGGGAGACAAATCACCTGAGGTCAGGAGTTCGAGACCAGCCTGATCAACATGGAGAAACTCCGTCTCTACTAAAAACTACAAAATTAGCCAGGTGTGGTGGTACATGCCTGTAATCCCAGCTACTCAGGAGGCTGAAGCAGAATTGTTTGAATCTGGGAAGCAGAGGTTGCAGTAAGCCAAGATCACGCCATCACACTCCACCCTGGGCAACAGGAGCAAAACTCTGCATCAGAAAAAAAAAAAGTGAATCATGCCAAGTGCAGTGGCTCACTCCTGTAATCCCAGGACTGAGTCAGGAGGATGGCTGGAGATCAGGAGTTCAAGACCAGCCTGGTCAACACAGTGAGACCTCGTCTACAAAAATAAAAAATTAGCTGAGCGTGATGGCACACACCTATAGTCCCAGCTATTTAGGAGGCTGAGGTTGAAGGATTGCTTGAGCCTGGGAGATGGAGGCTGCAATGAACTATGATCACACCACTGCACGCCAGCCTGGGTGACAGAGTAAGACCCTGTCTCAAAAAAAAAAAAAAAAAAAGGAAAAAAATTTTTTTTATTTTTGGAATTGATATGGTTTGGCTGTGTCCCCACCCACATCTCATCTTGAATTGTAGCTCTTATAATTCCCATGCGTTGTGGGAGGGACCTGGTGGGACATAATTGAATCAGTTTCCCCTGTACTGTTCTCATGGTAGTGAGTAAGTCCCATGAGGTCTGATTTATAAGGGGAAACCCTTTTTGCTTGGTTCTCACTTTCTCTCATCTGCTGCCATACAAGACATGCCTTTTGCCTTCTGCTACGATTGTGAGGCATTCCCAGCCACGTGGAACTTTGAGTCCACTAATCCTCTTTTTCTTTATATATTGCCTAGTCTCAGGTATTTCTGTATCAGCACTGTGAATATGAACTAATACAGAAATGCTGAAATGACTTGGAAGCAATAACATCCCAGTGGCACTAAGCACTCCAAGTACCCAGAACACGGCTCCTATATACCATCCCTCAAAAACATGGACCAGGGCTCCTGGGAGAAATGACTGATCCCAGGGTTGTGGCAGGGAAGGTGCAAGATGGGCCTTGAATAGGTCAATCTGAACATCCCTTTACAAGACTCCCTTGTCAGGCCATCTGGGGTCATCCTCACATGCTCTTGGGCGTGTGAGTCTTCCAAGAACAAGGGCTGTCTTGCACTCGTCTGAGTCTTCCAAGAACAAGGGCTGTCTTTCCATTGATTTCCATGAATTATTGTGTCTTTCATGAAACATACATTTTTCTCTTTTCTTCCCAAAATAATACTTCCTGAAACACATTTTAAAGTTTTATCCCCTACAGGTTTAACATGTCTCCGGTTTATTCCTAAGTGTTTTGTCTTTATTGTTGCTGTAAATGGGGTTTTCCTCTTCCATTACATCTTCTGATTATTGTTTAAGGGAATGAAGGCTTTTGATCCTGTTTTATATATTATTATCATACTATGTTCTCTGAGGAGATATGCACGTTTTATAATAAGGAGTTATATCACTCACTTCCTACTTTATTGAACACTAAATTACTGATATCTGAGATATGAAACTTTTTTTTTTTTTTTGAGACAGTCTCACTCTTTTGCCCAGGCTGGAGTGCAGTGGCATGATCTCGGGTCACTGCAGCCTCCACCTCCCAGGCTCAAGCAGTTCTCCTGCCTCAGCCTCCCGAGTAGCTAGGACTATAGGCACCCACTACCATGCCTGGCTGATTTTTGCATTTTTAGTAGAGGCGCCCACCACCATGTTGGCTAGGCTGGCCTCGAACTCCTGACCTCAAATGATCTATCCACCTTAGCCTCCCAAAGTTCTGGGATTACAGGTGGCCACCCCCATGCCTGGCCAATTTACTTTTAGTAGAGATGGGATTTCATTATGTTAGGCTGGTCTTGAACTCCTGACTTCAGTGATCTGTCCACCTCGGCCTCTCAAAGTGCTGGGATTACAGCTGTGAGCCACCATGCCTGGCTGTTACTAGCTGTTTAATAAGACCATGAACCATAGCTGATCAACCCAACTGTTGCAAAATACTCTTCACCATGTCCCAAGATCTCTGGCCCTGAAATTGGATGAAGCTGGCTTTTCCTGTTTATAGCAAAGCTGGTTTTCTCCACTTTAGCTTTCTTCCTACACACCTCACCTCACACCTTGGATGACTGTTGTATGCTTATACTAGGTTCCGGGATCTGGCACACCTCCTGTTGCAGAACACCGCACGTGTGGCACTCAGTTCAGCTGTCTTCTTGGTAGGCCATGGAGCACCAAGACTGGTCGGGTTTCTGACACTTGAACAAGTTGAGGAACCGCTGCTTCAGACAGAGCTTCCAAGATTGACCTTCCTCCATGAGACCCGGGGTGTAGCACAATGGCAGACAGGCTTGGCTCCAACAGAACAGAGAATCAGAGGGTGCTCATGATGGACAAAGCGTGGGTGCCACAGAAGTCCCTGGAACTGAGCAAACACCCAGACAAACACCAGGCCCAAGTCACCCCTGCAGACAGTCAGACCGCTCAGCATTGTGTGCGCACTGGCGCCAGCTTGTTTAACGGCCGATTTTATCTTGGCCCTGGAATCCCAAAAGCTTTCTACCCGATTGCCATAGAAACATTAACCTTTCTAACTGTCCTCACGTTCCAGGGACTGTTTAAGTGAAACCAGGAGAGGGAACGCTGGCCCATGAAGAGCCTCCTCTGGGTGGACTGCTGTTTCATTTGTTTTCTTCTTAAGATTCACCACAGCACAGCTATCTGCAGAAAAATGAGAACAACCAGAATGTAAAATTAGAGCGAGCTGCTTTGCTGTGGGCACTTAAAAAAGGCAATTTTTTTTTTTTTTTGAGGCAGAGTCCACCCTATTACCCAGGCTAGAGTGCAATGGCACTCTTGGCTCACTATAACCTCCGCCTCCTGGGTTCGAGCAATTCTCCTGCCTCAGCCTCCCAAGTAGCTGGGATTACAGGCATGCACCACCACACCCAGCTAAATTTTTTTTGTATCTTCAGTAGAGACCAGCCAGGTCTCTTCACCACGTTGGCCAGGCTGGTCAACTCCTGACCTCATGATCTGCCCGCCTCAGCCTCACGAAGTGCTGGGATTATAGGTATGAGTCACTGCGCCCGGCCAAAAAAGGCCATTTTTTTAAAGTATTTGTATGTAACATGCATGAATTGCAAGAAAATATTAGCTTTTAATGTGTTCTAAGATGATATCATAACGTAGGTCACGAGTGTGTGCAGCCTCAACAATGGGTGTCAGTAAAGCCTCCCCATCCTGATGTTGCGGGGTAGAAATCAAAGGACAATATCCTCAGACAAAAGAAATGTAAAACAGGGACAGG